GCTCGGTTACGTTTTGGGCGCATCACACTCTGCAGCTTCTCTCTGAAGAAAGGCAGCTGTGCTAATTTCAGCTCCATTCAAAACGCAGCAGGGGCTGGGGAGGGGGGAATCAATATTTGCCAAATAGAAAAGGGCACAATCGTAGGGGTGGGGGAAGAGAGGCTGGGAGAAGAGGACAATGCTGTGGTCGGGCTGCCAGGAATCTGTTACGGAGAGGGAAGTAAATTAAAAGCTGTGAACAATCACAGAGCATCTTTGCCGAACTTAAATCAAGATGATACATTTATTGTGATAAGTTTGGACACAGAAAGGAGCGATGGCTGTTTGAAAGAGGAGACTGTGATAGTTACGTCTCGCATATACAGCTGATGATTTGAGAGTAGCCAAAATACACCTCTCTCAGGAGACGTTTTAAATATCTTGCTACTGACTTATTGTCAGTATTTTATGTACATGTTCTGCCTAGAATGACTACAGCAGTAGCCTGAAATATAAAAGTAATCCTGACAATTGGACCTCTCCATTCCTCTTCCTCTCCCTGTCTAATGGACAGCTATTTGAGCTGTCCATTAAGATGAATGAACATCTTAAATTCATTAAGATGAATTTAAGATGAACGCTGCATGACTTACAAGTATCTTGTGTCAAGTTTTTAAAATATTCACTATTTTCTGAGAAATGTGTCTTTGCCAAGTGAATGGGCATACACTAATTACCAACAACGGCGATTTCTTTCTGTATATCTAAAGTGCATTCGCTCACACAGAATGGAAGTTCTGTTGGTTCTTCCAAAATGTGTAGTCAGGAAAAATGATGGACGCTGATTGGGGGATTTCATTAAGAATAATAAACTATATTCCCAGAGATGAGGAGAATCCTAACACATTTTCCAGACATTCAGTAACCAAGCCTCTGTGCCGTGGACACGAATGTCCTCATGTTTGTCTGACTGTTAATATAGCCATTCAGAGGCAGAACAAGGCATCAAACTTCTCAGGCCAGCCGTCTTTGTTCTCGGCTGTGTGCTATGGCCCTTTTCACTTTATACACTAATGGGCTGCAAAAATCCATTCGGAATAAGACAAGACAAGCATTCATTCCTTGCTGTCATAAGTGGCAAGGGTTAATAAAAGACATCCATATTCCTTGTGATAGCTACAGATAAAATTTGGGCATCCTATTTAGGCCACTTTCCTTCTCCCAGCAGTGCTGTCCCACATTCAAACTAATTAATAGGAAGATCTATGCTGTACAACGACTGTAGGAGCAGAATCATGTTTAGAAAATTGTACAACCTTAAATATGTCTACTGCTGATGTTCTCATTTGCTGCAGTTCACTGAGTTTTGCCAAGCACTCTCTTCTCAGAGGACTGTAGTTCAAAAGTGATATGCACAAATTTTCTATCTTCTGCTGAAAAAAGTTTGCTTCTTCACATACCATATTTACAGTTTTAAGCTACAGATCTACATCAGTAATTAAGCGTCCTAACTCCTTTCTAGCACAAAATCTAATTTATATTCAGCCTTAAATGAGAGTATTGTTTTCCTATTCATTCTAAAACAATTGAACACTGGATCTTTAGTTAGGAGAAAGTATTATCCACTCTTTCTCCCAGAGGAAAAGTGTGTAACCAGTGTCAGAAAGCCTCAGCCTGTGGTTTTCAGACCTCGGGCCACATCACACTGTCCAGGAAAGGTAACTGTGAGATTTAAGTTCATCATCAGCAGGCATAAATTCTCTCTATAGAGGTCTACCTTTGAAACACTTAGGAGTTCACAAACTGAACAGCTGCATGCAATAAGCTGGAAGAGTATTCTAGCAGAAGGATCCATGTATACAGGACAAGCTTTGTACATACAGGTAATACCTTTTATTATATCAACTGGTGTAGGAGGAAAAGCAGACAAATCTCTGTGGCAGCAAGTTCTTTTTTGGGTCTGAAGCAGTAACTATTACAGCAAAATCCTTCTTGAGAACAACTGCTCAGAGCTTAGATATATGTGTATCTGCGAAGACATCTTTGAAAGAAAAAGCAGAAGCAGTGGAATGGATGGGATGCTGTGGGAGGGAGGAAAGAGAGCAGAGCTGTTAAGTTCATGTAAGTTCCTAGAACTTGCTGGTTTTAATGATTTTTCACATAACAGAAGAAAAACCTACATGGAAAAAAATCTTCCCAGAAGCACTTGTCCTACATTTCAAGCACCCCAAACCACAAAACTCATCATTAGAAGTATAATTCTCAGATGAGTTAGGCTGTGCCAGAGCAAGAAAAGTAAAATGTGTTGATGCCTTTCCACTACTACTGCAACAAATACCCCCTGCCATCAAACCATCAGCATCCTGGGATCTTACATCTGCACTTCCAGGAACGTAATACACTTCATCCTGTGCAAGAGTGCCTTTCTGGTAGTTATGCAGTTGAAAACGACCACTCAGCACCAGCATGAACTCCCACAGACAGTCTATAAAGGTCCAAAACACTGTGCTGCCAGTGAATGAAAGTTTCTCACAAAACAGACATTCTCCCTCTGATCTTTCAGACCTGATCCTTAAGGGAAGCCTGCAAAATGTGCGCTACAGAAGTGAGCATGGGAACTAGATTTCCTAACTCTGCTGAACACCCAAAATCATGGACTCAGTAGAGATGCTGGATCTGATAGCACATTATAATCACTCCGTGCTTTCATCCCTTGTTTACCTCTGTTTGAATCGACAGACTGTAAGCTAATTGTCTCTCCTTTTTGCTTAGCTACTAAGTACCACTTTCTCTTCCATCTACCTGCATCATTAACATCCTCTCTATTCTACAGGTACCATCTTCTTCCTTTCAGAGCTGGCTTAATTAATAAATCTTTTAGGAAATGTTAAGAAATTGTTCTGCACTGACAGCTGCTGCTTCTGTTTCTAATCTGAAGAAAAGCTCATATGGCCAAGAGCTTGTCTAATTTTTTCAGCTATTCCTCTTGGTCTAATAAAAGATATTATTCCTTAATACAACCTCAGTACTTCACATTTCATCCATGGAAAACTATCGCTGTATATCCGTCTTATTTTTATGATGATTCCTTATGTATTCACCATAGGTGAGGGGAAAGAGAGAGGGGAGACT